CGATGTAGTCTCTCTTTTCCCCTTGGCTTAAATCCTCCCTCTCTAAAGTGCAGTAGTACATGAATTCTAAGTTAAAACTGTTCCTTAGCAAGCTAAAATAAGCCAGGTTCTTCGACTAAAATTTTCCGGCACCACAGATGGGAAAAGAAGCCAGCGCAAGTAACACACACGAAGAGATCACAAGTACAAAATAAAACAAAAGGTAAATAATCACACTAACTGAAGTACACAGATGGGAAACGAGAATGATAAAGTCAGACACAAAAAGGCATTGATTTATAATGTACATCAAAAAAGTAAATGGCCGCATTACCAAGGCATCCAATTCGAAAATACCACGGATTATCTGTGGAAATTACTTTAACAGCTATAATATGGTCGTCTATTTGTTTAGTGTCTCTTGTGCATTTCTGCGACCAGTCAAAAAGCACCTTAAAATAAAAACTTTTGAAAAACATTTCACAACGATTGCACAACAACAGAGCTCAAACATAGTTCAGAATGTTCCCACAGTTTTTAAAACATATAGCCTATTCGAGCGATAGCCTTGGCTCAACTATTATTCGTTAATTGCAACAAAAAACGTAATTTCCAGAATCTAAGAATGAAAAGGGCCAAATTTTGCAGTGTTATGACTCATTTCTTGCTCCATAAAGGTAACAGTGTTGTGCCACTCAAGAAACATTGCGGGAAGTGGTTGAAGTAAATCAAAACTCACCAGTTTCGAATCGGCTTCATTATAAATAACAGCAAGAGGGCCAACAGGTGCAAACCAAAAAGCGCTCTTCGTCATACACGTAAGTTTGCTTGAGTCACTTTCATATGTGCAAACATGAAGTAATTGCTTGCTTTGGCTGTTCAATACCAACTTGTATAAAACGTGAGTGACCGTAGAATGATATTGGCCCGGAGCAAACGTCAACATAACATGGCAGCTCCCCTCGTCGTAGCAAAAAGCACTTATGGCACCTGAGAGCAGAAACTGTCTCTTTTATACAACAACTATCAGTTTTCCAAGAAAAGCAAAACTTCAGGCGCAAAAAATTCCATTTAAAGATGACGGTGAATTAAGATAAAGGGAAGCGAATCTGCTT